CTCAGAGAGCACCGCAGAGATGCTCAGAGGCTTGTCTCGCAGTACATAGTGCCCTGCATGAACGCTTACGGCTTGTGCATTGTGGACCACTTCCTGGGGCACAGGATGGCCGAGAAAGTCTTCCAAGAAGTCCTGGCTTTGCACTTGAGTGGCAAATTCCAGGACGGCGCCCTGGCGAGTCAGAGGGCAGGCAGCAGCCAAGGCATCCGAGGGGACAAGATTGCGTGGGTAGAGGGCAGTGAGCCAGGCTGTGAGAACATAGGCTACCTCCTGAAAAGAATGGATAAACTCATCATGTACGCAGATGGGAAGCTGGGGCACTACAAAATTAGAGGAAGACACAAGGTCAGTAGCTTCAGCACCAAGAACTCGGACGTCCAGCGGGCAGTCTTGACTGCTTCGCCAAAGTTGCTAATCTCTCTGCTATTCCGGGCACTCCGGGTCTTTAACGGGGCAGTTTCTGGGCACGTCGCTTTACTTGACTTTTCCCTTTCTCTTTCTGCTCCCCACTTCTACTTCTGAGGCCAGTCCCGAAATCGAGGGCTTCGATATTTTTTTTTTAAAAAAAACAACTGATAGGGTTCACACGACAAGCTAGTCCACGTGCTCACATATTTATGAATTGGGTAAATTCTCTTGGCGCTAAAGAATAACGCGCTGGGTCCTTTCCGTGTCGCTCTCCTCCAGACTTGAAATCAGAAAACCAGATCGCTAAAACTGTTAACCAGTTTCTGAATAGTGAGTTCAGGGAAAAAACATTTTGGGATGAGAAAACACTTCCTTCAATAACTTTTTCTAAAGTATGTACTATGTATCCTTTTGAGCGATGGACGTGGGCGTATATGGTTGATGGGATGAGATTTAGAACTACACAGGATATAATCGTAGGAATACTTTCCAATACAGCGCCTGTAAAGGGACGCTTCAAAAAGGCGAGAATTGCTGCTACGGTCCAATGGCATTGTTTCCAAAATAGTTTCCAGCCATCTAAATTTGCTTTGTTTGCAGAAGGTCAGGTGGTGAAACGGGGTGGGTGGCGAGGGAGAAAGGCCTTCTGAAAAAAAAGCAAGGAAACATGGTAAGGACTTGTAAACTCCCTCCTTCTTCCATTACTGTAGTACAGTGCAGTATTAAGTTACCAAACGAGGCTCCCCTGGCACTTGCGCACTTAACACCCTCTTCTCCACCTTTTGTTTACATTGGCTTGTGGCGTGTGACCGTAGTAGAAGCATACATGCTTGGGGAGAATTCCTCAATGGCGGAGACCACACCCCCTCTTTGGAGTGGGCGGTACCCGCCGAACGATAAGGCACGCCTCCTCCAGGCACGCGGCTTTCCTTTCCCCCCCTCCCTTACTCAATGATTTCAACCGTGAACCCTGCCGTGGTTGGAGGTTTTGCTAGAAGCTACGCCCTGTCTGTCATTTGATTGGCTGAATTCTCGTTCCCTTGCGCTGGGCGGGTGGACCCGGGTTAAGACTGATTCCCCCCCCCCAGGCCGGGGCTCCACCCACGTGCCACTCGTTGTTGGAGTAGGAACACATTCTGCACGTAGCAGACGTATTAATCAGAGAGGGGCCATCTGCTCCCTTGGTAAATAAATTGAAAGGAGTTTGCCGGACCCTGCTCCTAAAATAAAGCGCGCGCGGGTGGGTCATTATCAGCAAACTGATCGGGAGGGGGGGGGAGGTTAGCACACTGATCTCCCAGCCTCAAAGCGGATAGAAAAGGGTTTCAGCAGTTTCCTCCTTCAGCTGTGATCTGTCTGCTAAGGTGCTAGTTCTGGCAATGGGTGTAGGTCAGTTATAGGGAGGAGTGCAATCACGGTTCATACTATTATCGCGCCAGGCAGGGCTGGGACGGTGCCGGGAAGGCTCCGATCAAGTGCCCTGAAGACAAAACATTACTTCAGCAAAACTTTTTTGGACATTCCAGTGTGACACAGATTCGCTCTTTTTGCTTGAAACTCAAAGAGTTAGACTTGGCGGGCTTGTTTGGTGTCCGATTCGGTTTGGCAGAATTATTGACTTTTTTTTCTTGGCACGGTTTCCCGCGTGTTTGTTGTCTTGACTCTACGTGCAAAGGGGAAGAAATTAATCGCATTCCCAAGATGCCCTTGGGACATATAATGAGGTTAGATCTAGAAAAAATCGCCCTGGACTATATTGTACCTTGTTTGCATGACATCGGCTTTTGCTACCTGGACAATTTTTTGGGCGAGTTAGTAGGAGATTGTATCCTGGAACGTGTGAAACAGATGCACTTTAATGGGGAGCTGCAAGATGGTCAGCTGGCCGGCCAGCGCAATGGCATCTCCAAGAGACACTTGAGGGGGGATCAGATAAAGTGGATTGCGGGCACCGAAGAGGGATGTGAGGCCATCAACTTTCTTTTGTCGCTGATAGACAGGCTGGTGATGTTCTGTGGAAGTAGACTGGGCAAATACTATGTCAAAGAAAGGTCCAAGGTAAGAGCTTTAAATAGGGGGTGGTTGTTTTGGTTTTAGCTGGTCTTATCATTTATTGTAATGTGCTCAGAATTAATCTTTTCATTTTAAACTTTTAAGTTGCACAATGTAGTTATTATGAATGGGAGTCTTCCTAATTTCTTAATAAATTAATGATCCTGGCCATTGTCATGTAAATAAGCTGTGTTCTATCTAGTAGCGCTACTTCCAATATAATGTGTGTAAAAATATTTCACTTTGAAGTATAGCACATGCATATGAATGAACTATAGATTTTATGTTGTAAGCCGCCCCGAGTAGACATGGTCTAGAGGGGCGGGGTATAAATTTAATAAATAAATAAATAAATAAATAGTTATTACTGGGATAGGCCAGGTGATTTGAGTCAGAGCATAGCAGTGTCATCAGTCTTCCAAAACTTTCTTTTCCCTTGTTAACAGCCATCTTAATAAAGAATTGTTAAGAAATAAGTAGAAGTTTCTTGAGACTGCTTTGGAAAAGCAAAATGATTTTGAAAGGTGTCAAAAGTTTTTTTTTTTAAAAAAAAATTAGTTGCATAATTAGATTAACAAGTTACTTTCCTGTCACTTTCCTTTAAGCTCCAGGTTGGATCATCCTGGTACTCTTACGCTGAGTGCTTGTCAGGCTTCTGAGCAGCTTAGCTTGTCTTTAGAGAGGTAATAAAGTTAATCCCTAATTTATGCACATATGTGCCAGCAGAGGCCACTGCACAGCTGAGTAAATAAAACAAAATCCACTGCAATTAATAAATTAATTTCTGTTGAAAAGTGACAGAAGTGTGGATACCAACATTAATTCTTTTGGTTTGTACCACTGCTTAGATGTAACTGCTGCACCATTTCAAACCTTTTTTTTAGTGTCTTAACCCTGAACTTGTGTGTGTTTACTCAAAGATAAATATCACTGAGCTTACCCCTAATATGTGTACAAAGAATTGCTGCTGTAGAATGCAAAAGGTGTCTAGAAGGCATAAGGGAGTAAATGAAAATCAGAGGAAGGCCTGTCATGGTAACCTGTACTGGTATCTTTCTCTCTTTGTTTCATTGACAGTACATCCTTTATCACTCAAGAGGTAAAGAATATCCTATAGATGTATCAATGATTAAAGTAAGTGACATTAGCTACCTCTTGACAAATTCATTAGCAGTTGGTTCCTTGTTCCTGTATTATTTATTACTTCGAGAATCCCCACTGATATTTAATAGTAAAAAGAGAAGCTTAACAGCCCTTCTTCAGGTGTACGTAATTGCTGAGCCTCACAAGTGTAACAATAATATGCTGCACTTTTTCAGGGTGCCACCTAGCCATGCCCTGTTCCAAAATAATCTGTTCCTTTATCTGGCACAGTCTTCCATTTTGCCTTCGAACTTTCCATAGCTGCTGATCATACCCAGTCTGCATTGGACAGTTGAACAGAATATTACGTTTAAACCTTTGATCTAAATATTTGTGTTCTAACAAACCTTTGGGGTTTCTCTAGCATGCTGATACCTCCTTCCTCTATGTGATGGTTCTTTTAACTACTTATGGATCCATGCTTGACAAATGAGTTTACTGTTATTTGGTTTACTTTTATTCATTGTAAACATAGAAGTGAGACTAAACTGAGTTCATCAGAGCTTGTAGTGTTTGTTGGACTATGAACCCCACTGGTCATGTTGGTTGGGTGAGTCTGGTAGTTGTGATCCAACAGGAACATTTCTGAGGTTCAGGAGTTAATGTTTGTAGCCCCAAACATTAGTCTGAGTGTGAGTGTGGTTGCAATATTTTCAGCTATCTTCACAAGGCTTCGTGAAACGACAGGACTAAGAATATTTGATAGTGAATAAGTCTCACTAAATTCAGTAGGCTGTCTGTGGAAAGTTGCTTAGTACAGTACAGAGGAGGAAGCATTTTGAAAATAAGTGAAGAAATATTTCCCAAGATGAACACAATTGTTGTTATAGCAGTGAAAAGTCTTCTGATGTCTATAGCTGCCTCCTTAAACTTTTGCCTATGTACCTATGTGTTAAGTAAGTAGAACACAAAGTAAGTAGTTTCCCTTGAAATAATGTTCAAACTTTCTGCATGCTCCCAGTGTGTGCTGATTTGTTGTCAAATGTATGCAAATGTATATAAACATGATCCAAATATATTTTGCTTAGTTTGGATGTTATCAGTGCATTCATTGGTTCAACTGGCTGTTGCTGATCTGACATTTCAGTGCAATTTCACTGACATAACTTGTGTTATGTATCATATTTTTCCATGTCACCACTTAGTGGTGGGAAACAGGTAATCAAATGATGCGGATAGATAACTAAAGCTGAATTGCATATTACAGATGTGTTCTTTGGTTGCATAGTCTTCTGTTCTTTCAGCTACAGTAGATTGAAAATTAAGTATTGATGCTGTATCAGATCCCTTCACTTGTTAGAGCTAACTGTGGTGCAGCGTTCTCAGTCTTTTGAATAGTTATCACAGAATTGTAGAATAATAGAGTTGGAGTTGGAAGGGGCCTTAAGGCCATTGAATCCAACTTTGTTCAATACTTATAGTAAAGTCAAAACTGTAGTTTGCAAACTTGGTTCTAACCATGATTAATACTGGTTTTACTCTAACTATGACTAATAAAAATTATAGTACAGAACACACATGTACCATTTGGTCACTGTTAACCTTTAATATGTCTGAATGGTACATGGATTTCATGAGTGAGAAGAAAGGAGATTGTGCACAGAGAACCAGGGTGCTCCTGTATCGCTTAAACATGGTCAGGATATGGTACACTGCTGTTTTTATCCGGCTTTGACATAGTAGCTCATTGAATGCAACCATGAAAAAAACAACAGAACATGATTTTAGTAAAGAATCTATTTCTAATCACGTACAGTAAGATTATAGCCCAGATGCTTTTTAAAGCAAGATGTTTAATGAGTGCATTTGAGTCATTCTTATTTGTGTTTTTGTGTTTCAAATGTTCATGAGGAGGAATCTGTACACTGAAGCTGAAGTCATTTTATGTTGATCTGTTAATTAATAAATTAATTCTTAATCTATGCCCAAGGACTGAGTATCAGTTGTGAGAATGGGCTTTGTGACATCATTGTTTTAAGGCTGCAATCCTATAAACACTTAGGTATGAGTGAATCCAATAGTAATCACTAGAGAATCCAATAGTAATCACTAGAGTTAAATTCAGAATACATGTCCCTAGGACTATGCTGCTTCAAACCTTGTTGTATTCTTTACATAAAACAAGCCTTTATGTTAATGTCTACAGTTCCCAAGAATTCAGTTTATAGTCAGGTGTAATGTCAGTCATCAGATGAAAGGCAGATGACTATAAATACTGTACTGCACAACTAAAGAGCCCTGTAATTCAGAAGTGCAGTAAAAGTGTACCATTAAGTGATATGTGCAGGATTCCTTTAAGCAGAGTATCTAAAATGCAATATAACACACAAGTTAGAACTGTTGTCACCATTGCAACACAGTGGAATATTTTAATTATGCCCTTATATCTGCTAATTCTTTGTGTTTCATACTGCAACCTGCATTAAAGTTTCTATACACAGTTAGACCATGCAACAAAAACAAGTTTTATGCACCTTAAAGACTAACAAGTTTTCTTTGGCATAAGCTTTTGAGCACACTTTGAGCTACTCTTTCAGATGCAATTTGCCGTTACTGTTTCACAATTTAAAATTTCTGTAAACAATTGACATACATGTAAGCAACTTACGTAATAATCTGAACAATAATTTTAAGAATCATTGCATTACAAACTTTCCTGCTTCCACCTTGTCAGCCTCTTCACTTCTCTGTTAGTTCACAATTTAACCATAACTAGTAACATCTGTATGTATAAAGGAAATAGAGGTTAGTGCTAACAAGTGAACTTTGCAGTTGGATCCACATGAAGTCTGTCATACTTCAATCTGATGGAAATTAATGGGACAAGTAAGTCATGACTATGTTTCAATAATTTCAATGGAGCAAAAGCATTAGTAATTTGGTCTAGATCTGAATGTAGTTCAGGTTTCAGTGGATGCTATATTCGTCATATAGATAGTATACCTAGTAACAAAAAACTGTATTGATACCTTATCACAGTGGTCCTCAACCTTGGGCCTCCAGATATTCTTGGGTTTCACCTCCCAGAAATCCTGGTCAGCATAGGTGGTGGTGAAGGTTTCTGGGAGTTGTAGTCCAAGAACATCTGGAGGCCCAAGGTTGGGGACCACTGCCTTATCATATTACAGCTGATGGATATCACTCAGCTGTAATGTTCTGTGACATTGTGTTATGTATGTTGCATCAGTTTCTGGATTGCAAGTCCTGAAAACCTCTGCCAGCTATACTGGGTGGGAAATTGTGGGAGTTGTCATCCAGAAGGAAAAAAAAGTAAGTGGTTCCAGTCTCTACTTGATTCTCCTTACCGCAGGAACATGTGTTGGCATGTTTACTTATTTTTATTTCTGAGATTCCCGTGTCAATTTCAAAACATAGAAAGCTGCATTAGACTGAGTCAGGCCATTAATTCTTCTAGCTCAGTGTTGTCTATTCTGACTACCTCTGGCTTCCCAAGGTTTTAGGAAAAATTCTGCCCTGGCTCTACCTGGAGATGTTGGTGATTGATCTTGCAACTTTGTGCATTCAGAAAATATGAAATGTCACTGAGAAACACAGAGGTGGAGGATGAGAGTATGTAACATAATCCTTAATGTCACTGGAACACTGTTGGATATGTACGTAATACTTGTATGGGAGATTCCCCGTATCAGTTATCCTGTAAATGGAAAGTAGTTGCACTGAAATGAATGGCAGTAGGGTAGGGTACATACGAAAAGATGGGGAACTTCATTCTCAGAGAAAGTGTTGGTGGCATCTGTCTCCAGTGTGTTGCTTTTGCAGAGGAAGATGCACAGGAGTGCTATCAAAGGAGACTTTTATATCTGAAGGAGGCTAGATTTTGTATTAAATGCCCTCCTCCATATCAAACTTCTAAGCTGACTCTGCACCTCAGAATGGTAGGACCTCTGCTTCGCAAAGAGTCCAGCCTTGATAACAGTGCCCAAGGAGGCTGGGTAGCTGTAACACAAGAAACAAGAAACTTCTAGCATAGCATTAACTACTTTTTGTAAGAAATCCTGTAAGTTTTTGGAGTGGGTGAAGTTCCACTGCCCATAGATTGCTAGGCACTCCCAGCAACTCCTAGCAACCATCGCAAACAGTGAGGCACATTGGCAGTTGCAGGCCAACGACATCTAGAGAGCAACACTTTGGCTGATTTGTGTGATAGTTTATTTTACTACCTGAAATAGTTTCCATGCTGCTAGCAAGTCACAGGCAACATAATCAATTCCCATTGGATTGGATGGGACCTAGACTTAGGCTGCTGTGCTATCCTCTTTCCCATAGGTGTACAAAATGTTTTCCAAAAACCATATGTGACCCCCAAGGCTAGTTCCCAGTCCCCTTGAAGAAAATGGTTTTGACATTCCTGGAAGCTTCCAGGAGTGGTGGTTTTTCCATAAGACAGGAGAGACTGAGCCCCCCCCAACCCATCCAGATGGAAATGAATCTCAAGTTGATGTTTTTATTTCACTTTATCGTGGTGCCTCGCTTGACGACGATAATCCGCGCTGTTGAAATTGCTGTTAAGCGAAATCCTCATCAAGCGAAATTAAAAAGCCAATTAGAATGCATTAGAAACCGGCTAATGTGTTCTAATGGGCGAAATACCTCATCGTAAAGCGAAGATCCTCCATAGGGCGGCCATTTTCCAGTGCCTGTCTTGCGAAAAATGCCTCCTAAAAACAGTGGGGGAGGCATTTTGAGAGCCGCCAATCAGCTGTTGAAAAAACATTGTTTAGCCAAAAATTGGTTCCCGAAGCAGAGAACCAATCATCGCTAATCGAAGAAACCCCATTCAAACATCCTTTTGCGATCGCTTTTGCGATTGCAAAAACATCATCATGAAGCGGATTCATCGATAAACGGGGTAATCGTTAAGCAGAGCACGACTGTATTTTACCTCATGTTTCACATCTGTGGAAGTGATTGTAGTCACAGTGGGTCCTGGGGGCAGCAGTGTCCTTTTCCAACCTCTGAACTTGCTTATC